GGTAAATCTCTTCAAAATATATGAAATTACTTATGATGCAGAATGCAGTCCTTTCCTCCATGCAGTAGCATGCACACCTTGCCAAGCACAGGGAAATGTACTGACACCTTGCTATGCCCTCAAATGCTAAACCTGATCTGAATTACACACAAGAGATTACAGCCATTAACAACTCAGCTAGGTCTTGCCTTCATGTGGGAAATCTTCCCAAACACTGCATGTTGGAGGATGTGATCTTTGGTTGGTACCCCAATTACTAAATACAACAGTGGTGTGAGCAGTGTTAATGTTTGCCAACATTAGCACATATTTTTCTCGTGTGGCAAGGACTGAGCTGAGCCATGACAAAGTAACTCACGGATGTGATATACTGTAAATTCATAGAGTTGGGAAGGGAGATTTATTAAAAAGAACTAAATACAGCCAGGTGAAAAAGTTATCAGAAAGAAGCATAAATCAAAAATAATGAAGGGTAGATGGCAGGAAGGGCTGAAAAACTGCTTATTCTATTTAATTTTATCTTAATCAGAAGAATAAATATCTGAAAGTACAACAGTTATGGGGGGCAGAGAGAGAGAAAGAATGAGAGTGACGGAAAGAGCGCAAGAAGAAATAAAACCCACGCGGCAACCCAGCTCAATGGAAAGAAATTCCTCTTCTCTTAGCAGTTAAAGAACAATGCTTCCTGAATCCTGACAATACTCCATTCTTCTGCTTTCTGGCTGGCTGGAACCTGAACAAGCATCAATCAAGTTTGGGTGGGTGTGGAGCAGGCCAGATGGAGGATGTCAGAAGCATTTTGTGCTCCTCAGCACAGGCTGGCCATTAGAGCAGCCACTCGCCACAAGTGCCCAGCTCTGTCACATCTGTCAGGACAGTTTAGGGAGAGCTTCAACATCACCAGCCTTGCAGACACTGATTAGAATATGCAGCTGTGTGTGCTGGAGGAGACGTGCCTGTCTCCACTGGGAATTTGTGATAAAAATTATCCTTTCATCCTTGCCAGACTTCGTGACAGGCTTCCTCACAACCTCATTTGTGGACTAAATACACAACAAACAGTTACATTGCTGACAATCTGTCTGTCCAAATGCACAGTATTCCAGAAGGAAAGGTGGTTTTCATCCTGTGTTACCTACACTTTAACCCAGCAGCCCAGGACAAAGCTACTGTCTTCCAGTCTGAGAACATGTGAGCAAAGCTATGGAGAAATGAGCTTGTCAGGAAGCCAGGTAAAATTAAAATTCCTGGTTCATCCTTACACATAGTTGTAATCCATAAGACAGCCGCTCAGAAGTAGAAAGTACTGGCACAGACCAGTTGCTAAGAAGAAAATATTTGGTTTTTTAGTTTCCAGAATAATGGAGAGTGCTTAAAAAAGGTTTTAGGCTTTTCTATGAATGCTTACTAACTATAAAAGAAATCTGTTTTTTTTCAGGTATGATTTTCCTTTCTGGTAAGAATAGGTCCAAGAATGGACAGCAATCATTTTTGAAATCATTGAGTGAGAGGAGGGAGACTCATCCTATCAGCAAAACAAATTCATCAGCAAATATGTTGATGGGCTGGAAAGGTGGATAAGCAACAGTAGAGCAGGATCTACATTTACAATCAATCAATTGGCATTCTTCTCAAGGAATAGAAAAGCTGAGGAGGAACTTCAGACACCATGCCTCATGAAGGAAATGTGTCAGGTGAAATTTGATGCACAACACTTCATTAGTCAGGCCTAGACAAGATAGCCTCTCTTACCCACACAATTTCTGGAGTCCCTAAATAATCACCATTAATTATTATTTTTTTTTAAATAAGGGAGAATTTTGAAGGTCTCAGATACTCCCCATGTAAGCAATGATCAAAATTAAAATTATATTTAGCTAATTTAGTGGGTCTAATGAACAATAAAGGTAGTATTACAATGATATTTTCTTCTTTCAACACAGATCTATAGAGGACATGTTTGGAATACTGTTTACAATCCAGTCTCTCTATAATAAAAAATCTTTTGCAAAAGAAAGAATTTAGTTAAGTCCAGCAGTCAGTATTCTTATTGTGGATAAATTCTTATACAAAGAAATACTTGAGCAGGAAGTTTTAAAAGATGGCAAGTGATGAAAAAATGTAAAAGAAGATATATAAAAGTACCATTGATTGGAGAAGCTAAATAGGGGCTTTCACTGACCTCATTTACAGTATGAAATCAAAAGGAAAACTGATATAATGGGGAGGTTACAAACACAACCTAACAGAATAAAAATTTCACCTCACTGGAAAGGGGGTTAGTCAGGAAAATCACGAAAACAACACTTTTTTCTGAATATACTGGTATTTTTCAGTGCAATATTCTCAGTCAGCTCACATCTGCTTTTGGTACTCTCAGCTCTGTTGTCAGAGACGTGTTCATTGGTGCACCTCTTGAAGCAAAGACCAGCCAGAAAGGCAACTATTGACAGTAAAACAGATTCCTGAGCTGCTAAGCCCTGACTTACTGCTCTGCTGCCAGAAATGCCAGAAAGCTCCTGCCCTGCTCGGCCAGGCAGCCCCAGTAGGAATGGACAGCCCTAGATCAGCATTCACAGATTTAGCTGGATATCAGTACAGACCGCTCATGCTTCAGAAAATAACTTCCTGCTTCCAAATAATGCACCATGGGCTTTTTTTGTTACAGTCCTGAGGCACTGATGCAAAGTTAGGGGTGAAAAAGGAGCCTAACATGTAACTGTAGACCATTTGAAGTGCTCAGGCCATAAAGCAGTTCTCATTTCCAAAGAAGGAAATTCATTAAGATTCTAGCTACAGGTTGAATGACGTTGAAATCTTTTCCTTTATCTTAGTTGTGGGTTTGGACTTACCTCCACCTCAGGAAGAAAACAAATGCACTCATTCCAGCCAACATGCCAGCACGCCTACTTTTAACTCAGAAATAAAGTTCAGTGGGGCAAAACTTTTCACACAGTCCTAAGTCTGCTTGACCTAATTCCCTCCTCTAGTTGCTCCTCCTGGTGCCAACACACTGCCCAGTGCAGCTCCTGTGTAGTTATACCCACAGATCTGCAATATGGACTTAGCTGTGAGCCCAGGCTGTGTGTGTGTGTGCCTCCCATGCCTGCTGCTCCCACTAATGCCAGCAGCAGATGAGTGAGCAGGTGGCATGCAGGAAGATGCCGTGAGATTTCCTACGCAGATCAGGGGAGCAGAACTGCCCACAGTTATGATGATTAAAAACCTACTTCGGTACCTATTTCTCTTTTTGCGTTCCTTCAAATCGAATAAAGTCAGGTTTCGTAATTAAGTCAAACCCCGTAACTGGTTGCTGCAGTCAGTCCCAATCCAATTGTCAGTCTCAGCTATAACTCACTCCTAGCCTCTAGAATCAGTTGACTCCAATCCAGCAATTTCTCAAGCTCTGCCTTTGAAACTACAACTTGAAAATGAGCCTGTACCACCCAAGAGCGCTGCTCTCACAAAACAATGCTGCACCAATGCTCTGCCTTGTCCCCCTCTCCCTGTGCTCTGACAGCCACTGACAGAATATAGATCTATGACTCAGTGGAAGCAGGACAAGGCAGAGGTTCGAGGGGCAGAGGCCTTCTGGCAGCACAATAGGAAGTCTCATTCTGTAAATTCCCAAAGGCTACTTAGGCATGGAAACTTAGTGAAAAAAAGAAAACAACAAAAACCCACACCAAAAAAAAAAAACCAACAAAAACTCACCTAAACAACCCAAACCCCAAAAACATGAAAAAAGTCCCTCCCCAAAACTGCTAAACAATAAAATCACACATCTCAAAGCCATTCCTACATTCCCATCCAATCACTCCGATCCCTAAATGCTGTTTACTGTCACCAGCTCAACCAACTCAGGTGCTCTCTGAAAATCTAGTTGTAACTTTGCTGCTCCACAGCCTGTCTCTGTCTGCACAGGTTCTAGACTGGTCTGATAACTCCATGGATAGTGTGCAAGGGAAACCAGTCACATGGATGGGTGGATGCACACACACACACACAACACTTCTCTGGTCACTCAAGCAGAGCAGGCCACTTGCAGGTACTCCTACAATCAGTGGTGCAGCACCACAGCCTACAATATGAAAATTGCTTGTCCCAGGTGCACCTGTCACACCTAATCACATTTATTTGTATTGTTATCCAAGTATTCAGAGCCTGGAATGTGTCAAAACCTGCTGGTTTTAAGTAAACAAATGTCAGGTAGCATAGCTTTTATAATCTACTTAAAACGCATTACTTTCGTATCTCAAACAAGATCTCACAGTTTTAGCTCCCACTATAAATCATCCACTACACATAACACCTGCTACTCTGATAAAAGAGTACATTAAAAGGCTTTATAGGTTAGAAAGAAAATAAGTTTTTCTAAGGGCCACCTGGAAACACAAATGCAGGGCATTTGTCTTTCTGTGTACCAGGAATTATACTATCAGTCACACAACTAAGACATACATTCTTTACTATTCTTCCTGATATGTTTGAATAAAGAATAAACAGCCCCAAGGGTGTGCAATATTTTCATACTTCAGAATGCAGTGAGAAAAATATCCTTTCAATGCTATTTGTCCAGAAGAAAAGTAGTCCTTTCTTCAACTAGCCATTATTCAATACCATACCAAAACCTATACAAAAGATGTCTTTACCAACGGATATTTTTTCATGCTATTATTATTATTCCGTTCCCATCAAGAAGTGACTTACAAATACTCTGGAAGTCTTAGTAAGCAAACTGGTAACAGTGTAGGAGGTCTAAAGTTAAAATTGGAGCTCTAATCTCCAGCTTACTTTTCAAGTGTGAGACAGCCTTGACTATGCAGCTCAGGAATATTCCCTGCCTGAGCACTGACAGACAGGAGCAGTGCAGAGCTGAGGAAAGGCCATGGAAGTGCAATATCCTGTACAACTGAGCTCCCACTGAAGCATGCAGAACATCACCACAAACCCAGTGATTTAAATGAACTATCATGCAGCCTTCAGCAAAGGGAATTTACCTTGAGGTTTGGGTTTGGTAAGCTTCCCACAGGGCTTTGAGATTGTGACAGTCTTCTGGCAGTCAGCATTATGAAGGGCTCTCTTTAGGTTCCCGGTCCGAGTCTTCAAGGCCGTGTTCAAGTCACATTCTCCCCAGGCCTGGAACTGGTATTTGCACTCCGCTGCAGCAAGGAAAAAAAGGCAGAATTTAAAACACAATGACTGCATGTGAAAACAAAAATGTTGTGAGTCTAATAGGATACCACAGGCAGTTGGTGCTTACAGACAAAAAGATGTGCAACTGATTATTTGCAGTGGTAATTGCAGTCTCTTCCCCCCTCCCCAGTGCTCCAAAATATAATCCTCTTGCTTTTGCATGGATATTGCATTTTTGGCATATAAAGAGAAATACATTCAGCTATGAATATAAACAGCAACAACAAAAAAAAAAAAAAAAGAAAGAAAGAAACAGCAGTTTGAAATGTCATTTACATTCTGTATGGTTGTTTCTCCATTTGTGTGATGCCAGAGGTTACCAAATAAAGCTTGAACAGTTTCTAGAATGTATGTGCACCCATAAATTTCTCAAGTCTGAAACTGCAGTACTGATTGTGTTGGTAAGGTCACAATAATTTCAAAAGCATGCAAGCTGTTTAATAGAAAAAATGCCAAGTTTGCAAGAGTAATCAAATTTGAGTTTTAGACAGACATGATGTCCAGGAGAGATTTGACGTATCTTCCCGAACTGTTACATACAAACCTTCTGAGCTGATTGCTAAAAATGAAATACACTGGTGTTCACTCACTCTTTCAGTGCACACACGGGTAGCCAGCCCCCCACACTCCACATCACACTTTGTGAAGCCTGTGAAAGCCGTCGCACAGGTTCACAGCTGTGAACTTGCACTACTGCCCTAAAGAGGGCTGAACACCACAGAGAGAAGATTTCAGCGTGCAGGAAGGCAGAGTATATAATAAGTAGGTTATAGGGACTCTCTGCAGAGGAGCTCTGAGGAAGCTGCCTTCTGATGCCTTGCATGTTCTAGCTCTGATGAACCTCAAATACAGAACTAATGCCCTCACCGAGACATCTGCAGAACCACGCAGAAAATACAGGCTTCATGCTCCATACTCAAAACAGAAACCAAAGTAAATCCCTTAAGAGAGAGATGCTGACCTCCAAATTGCTTCTTCCAGTTGCAGGGAATCTTGCACTTCTGAGTCTTGGTGGTTTGCTTGCACTCAGCCCCAGTGCGAGTGCCCTCACGTGTCCCCAGGCCGCAGTCACCGCTGGTGGGCACGCAGACACTCCACTGCCATTCCCCACAGTCAGACTTCTTCGCCTTTTTCTCTGGATGAAGACAAAGAGCCAAGCAAGAGAAGTGGTCAGGACCCAGAGCCTATGGAGAAGTTGCCTAAACTTAATCAAAGTCACAGCACCTGGAAGGGTAAGGAAGATATTTGTAACGCAATTGCCTTAAAAGCAAAAGGTCTGACACCCTCTTCACAATTCTGCAGTGACAGGACCCTTTGAGTCCAAAGCAGGATGATCATTCAAACTAAGTCCCACTGTGATGTTTACTGGTTCATTTGGATATTCTCAAGTGGACTCTCATCTTCAAAACTCTAAAAACCCACAGGGATATCATTGACCAAAACATGCAGGAGGGCTCTCACTCAAAAAGGACACTGTCTCCAGTGGCTGGTGGCATGCAAATATCCTCAGTTCCAGCTGAAGCACCCTACACTAAACAATGGGAAATGTGTATGGTGACATTGTGTATCAGAGGATTTGAGCACCTCCAGGAAATAGTTGTGGGATGCACTGTGGGATGCAAGCTTCTGATTTGCTATACCATGTCACGTTTTATATCAGAATATGAACAAAACTTCAAAGGCAAAGGAGCCACATGGAGAAGCGTATTCAAAGTCCTGTTAATTCAGGTGGGTTTGTTGCTCAGGAAAAAAAGTAAGGATGGATCATGATTTTATTTAGATCCTTAAACCCAAGTCAAGAAAAAAGACAGCAATGTTGTCAAACCCAAGGATTCACAAAATTAATTACTTAGAGCCCTACAACATCACAAGTAACTGTAAAAATACTTATATAAAATTATTTTTCTTCTAGGTCTTGAGTGTTTATGCTAGCATTTTTTTGTATTTCCACAGAGCCAAAATGGTTTAAAAGTTCCTTTATTTTTACTGGGAACACTAATTCTGACACACGGTTCATTTTCTCTGGTGTATAAGTTGCCTGAAAAGAATAAGACCTTAAGGAAAACACCAAAAAATACATTCTTTAAAAAATGTCAAAACTGAGTTGGACAGATTTGAATTTTCCACCCCAGGCCAGTTTCTCCTATAATGAGGTCTGGGCTCATCACTGACAGACAGCAAGTACTGCTGGATGTCTGGCTGCCTGTGCAACAGCGAGTTAGCACAATTCTCTGTCAGAGGATTTCCACAGCACACAGCATCAGTGTGGCACTGCCATATATAACACTGAACAAGTGACATAACTGCTTTCATCACTCATGTTTGGTTCCCCCTAAGTCAAGCATGAAACTATTCACAGAGCACATTTTAAGCTGCTTTGCAATATCCACTGTGTGATAAACCAAGGACTCCAGTCTCTGGGGCTGTCAAGCTCCCTCTTGACATGGAAACCCCTTTCTGTTTCCCTATTTAACACAGAACAACATGTCACAGCCAAAACTCCCACCCGTGATGTCAAAAGGTTAACAAATGACCTGATTTCGTAACAAAACCAGAAGTGTCTGACATTCTCACACACACATGCTATCTATCCTGGGGATTAACTCTGAATTAGACTGGACCTTACCTGGTTTCTCTTTCTTGCCAGCCTCAGTGGTACTCACAGCTGCCAGAAGGAAAACGAGTGCCAGGAGGGCAGCTGTGAACATTCGACGCTGCTGTTGTTGCTGTTGCATTCTGCAGATCGGTGACAGAGAGGAAAAAAAATGGTTAGTGAGACTGTAAAAAGTGGGACTCCAACTACAGCGGTTTTGGGAAGCTCTGCTTCAAGACCACAAGACACAAGTAGGTCAAACATAATTAGCTATTGCCAGAATGGGCAATTATCTCCACTCTGGAGAGAATACGGAGATTTTTAACTATTTTCCAGCCTGTGTACCAAATCCCTGATCCACATCATTGATGTTATTGGAGGAGTTTTGCCATGGGAAGTTCTGTAACTACTGCTTGTTGAAACCTGCTAGAGAATCAAGGATCCTGACAGGTCTGGAACTCCCCTCTTCTTTTCTGACCGCTGGCTGTGTTAAAATAAGCATAACATACACTTCATACTTCAGTTTACCAACTCATATGAAGTAGGGAATACTCTACTGTCCACCTTGCAAGGGTTGAAGTTCTTATTAGGCTGAACTGACATCTGAAAAGAGCTTCTTTCACAAAAACTCATATAGGTAATATGTGATGGATTATCTTAATTGTCACTGGCATGTTGCTATGCACTTCTTCCCCTCTGATTAGTGTCTCTTCATAATATGAATTAAGCTAATTGTTTGAAATGCAAAGTAGGCACAGAGACAGGGCTTGCACACACTGCCAGAGGCTATCCACAGCATGTTAATGCACTCGAAATCTGGATTTGGGAAGCAAATATTCCAATACAAAAAGATATTAAATCCCATTTGCTTGGGATTGAAGTTGCTAACCAGTCACCAAAACTCATTCTGAGCTTTCCCTTCCCCATTTCTATAGTTTGCATTGTCTCATTTTGGCACTGTTTATCAGAACACAGGGCCTTCAAAGTGTATGTTAAAAATAAGCAACATCCCCCTTTCCCGGAGACATCTCTCCAGTAGGAAACCAGGTACCAAAATAGTGCTTAGATCAAAGGAAGGTTTCTCTAATTTTTCTTTTGCTTTGTGTTTCTTTTTCTTCAAACCAGGACCCATGTCACTGATGTTACACCAGCCTTCAGAGGAGGTGCCACTAAGATGGTCCCTAAAACTCAGCTAGACTGATATTTACAGAGAGTTTTATGGCAGCCTGATCTCATTTGCTGAGCACAGCAAGCGTGGAGGAGAAATATTTCTCAACATGAACAAAGAACAAAATGTATTTGAAATTTAATTTGGCACTCTTCAGTATTCTCTGCTGGCAACCTCTTGCTCAAATGCAACATAATTATAACTGACATGGAAAACAGGAGAGGAATTCCAAAGATGGAGACTTTAAAGTATCTGGCTTTAATATCTTTCTAGAAGCCATATGAGACAACTTAATAGGTGTGCTGAAATAAAGTTCATTTGAAGACTGAAAGAGGCCTGGCATTCAAATGTCCAGAAGAGCTGTCATTAGCACAAGTTTCATCTGCTTCAAAAGAAAGTATTTCCCATGAAGAAAGGACCACCATTGTTTCCAGCAAACTCAGAGCCCAGAGTAGAGCATGTGAGTTGCCAAAGAGCTTGGGTTTGTTTTTCCATTTCTCCTGCTACGTTTCCACTCAGAGCCTCTCGTGTTTCACAGGAAATTCATAAAATAAATAAAATAGACAAATAAATAAATACATTAAATAAGCAATTAAAAACTAAACCTGCCTTTTAGCTCACCTTACTTCAAATTGCTTTTCCATAATCAAATGAGCACCTCTTTTATGAGGAAAGGCTGAGAGAATTGTGTTTGTGCAGCCTGAGCAAAAGAAGGCTTGGAGTGACCTAACTGCAGCCTTCCAGTACCTGAAGGGAGCTCCCAAGAAAGGCAAAGAGAGACTTTTTACAAGAGCATGTAGTCATAGAACAAAAAGGAATTAATTCAAATTGAGAGTAGGGTTAGATTAGATATGAGCAAAAAATACTGTGACCATGGTGAGGCACTGGAACAGGTAACCCAAAAAAGTTGTGGAAGCCCCATCTCTGGAAGTGTTCAAGGCTAGGTTGGATGGAGTGCTGAGCAATGGGTCTAGTGAAAAGATGTTCCTGCCCATGGCAGGGGGTTGGAATTAAATGATCCTCAAGGGCCCCTTCCAATACAAACCATGCTAAGATTGAAACACAGTTGCCATACTATTTAAAAATCAAACTCCATATTCAGTCCCTTGTCCCTTTCCTTTGGGGGAGTTTCCCCACCAGTAACACTGCACAGCCCCCAACACCCCATTTTCGCTATAATTTGTCTTCTCACTTCTTCTCTTCCAACCAACTTTCCAGAATGCTTTGTTGAAGGAGTTAACTGATCTCATGGAAGCACAAGTAGCAGGAGATACAAACACTTTCATGTCCCAAGTCACTGTCTGTAGGGTGTCAGCAGCTGAAGCAAAGGCAGCACTAATGGTTTTACTCTGCAGGTCGCCACCAAACACAAGAGATGGTCACAGCTTTGGGGCTGCCTCCTACATCCTCTCTACCCACCCCAGGGACTTGTGGTCACACATATCCCAGAGGCTCCCCAGTCACTGGGAGTCATGGGTAACTGTTACTAGGGAAGCTGCCTAATATTAAGTTGAAAGGGACTCGTATTTAAATCTGATTGACGTTCTTTTCAGCAAAACAGATGGGGAAAAGAGGTTTTGGAGTCTGAAACATTCCAGAAGCCCTATAAACAAAACCCCACAGAGCCTTAAAATAGCATGTTTTCCTAAGACTCAAGACTCCCCTACAGCCAAAACACTTGCCAAATGTCTAATGCAAACACAAAACCTGCAGAGATATAGATATCTTGTCTCCCTGCAGAGACCCAGGCTGCTTCCTCGAGTGCTTTCCTCCACCTACAAGTGAAAAGCCATGCTGCAGAAATGGGGACCTTGCCTCACACCACACCAACACCTCCAATGTGATGTAACCAGTACGACCACAGAAAACCATTTAACTCTTTGGCACATGATAAACAGCAAAGGTGGGAGCTCTCACAAAATTACCAACAGCCCATATGTAGTACTCACAAAATAGTAAGGATTTTTTTTTCAAAAGGCCAGAAAATGTCATCTACCAGCACATATATGAGTCCAATCTTCAGTTTTTCTTGCAAATATTTTAGTTGGAAGTTAAAAGATAAAGATAAAATCTCGCCAGACCAGACTTGTTTCTGCAAACAATATATTCTAGTGAAAATAACTGTCTTTTTCATTTACTTTTTCAAAATTCCAAGGTGACAGCTCTTCCTTTATATTACATTCTTTGATAACGTTGTCTGTTCAACCTTTGTTTCAAAGAACTCCCAGAACTGCTGATAGCAAATACAAAGTGTTACACTGTATACAAAATGGACTCCTCCTGATATTTTGATTTTCTGTAATGAGCCTGGCTACAGCAACCATAACGAGTAACTCATGTGCCCTGATAGGAAAGCATCTCTAAAATTCTGTGTGACAGCCTCTGAACAGAGCAAGGTGGCAGCATTTAAACAAATGGCAGTGGTGTTTACAACCACAGAAAGACAAAGATAAAAGTGAAAGAAAGAAAAGAGATTTTCGAGGTGTGGGCTGCTACAGGAAACTTCAGAAGAGAAAAAAGGTAAAGAGAGAGAGAGAGTTTAGAACAGTTTAAATGGGAAGTTGGAACAACATGAGGAAAAGAAGGTGAATAATCACATAAAGAGCACCAAAACAGGAAAGAGAAAAGAGAGAAGTGTTTAGTGTTAGTTAAACACTAAACCAGAGAGTGTTAAAAAAGCATGAAGTGTATAATGAAGGGAGAATCGAAGCCCAGTTGAGATGCACCATAGCAAGCAGCTTCTCGCAGCAAAAATAAAGCATAGGAATTATTTCAGCCTTACAGTTGATTTCACAGTCAATCTCTGCTTGGGAATAAAAAATGAAAGGAAAATGAAAAAATAGCAGGCAATCAGAGAATTAATGATTTCATCAACCATCCGTCCATGGTTTCAATTACATGCTGAGCCTCAGAAAGAGAATCAGGCAGAAATTACTCCATGGCTGAAGTTTAAGGGACCTTTTGAGCAGAGCTTGAGCCTCCCACTCTAAATCCCACACTACCCATAAAACCTGATTTTACAATCCCACTCAAGTGGGAAGCCCAAGGCAGCACAGGCATTTCCATGCTGTTCTTCTTAGACCATTGGATCTCTGTTAGTGCAAGTCAAGCTTGCCCAAGTGACTCTATCTACACTCACACAAATGACTCACACCCAGGTTCTCCCAAATCTGAACAAGTCTTTCCCAAACACAAGCATTCAGAACAAAGCAGACAATTTTGGATGAAGCTCTATCGGTGAGCAAGTGTTTATTTTTCCTAGCCTGACTGAAGCTGGCATATGCAACACATCCCAGGATCACATATGCCTTTTACAGGTGGCTTTTTTTTACTGTTAATAACTTTTATGCCCAAGCCCTTCCTTTCATCTGTTCTTTCCAAAGCAACTGGCAAGGTCCCAAACTATCAAAGCAAGTATTTCATTATTAGTCCATATGAGTGCATCCTGCCACTCTGAACAATCAGCTCTTCTCACATTATTATAACAACCTGCCCATATCCTCCAGCTCTTCCAGTATAATGTGCCAAACACCAGCTGTGTTGATGATACTGTTAAGCTGCATGTAAAGCAATACTAAAGGTATTGCCACTGCTAATGATGGGCCACGGGCTCTGCAGTGAGTGTGCCAGGGCTCTGGACTGAGACTTGTCAAGGTTTGCCCTTTCTGAGCATTCCTTGGGCCTGTCCACAGCTTTCCCATATTTGCTTTAGCTGCAACAGCATTTTTTCTATTTGACCAACCAGCTGTGGCTGATTTGATTTACTTTCCTTTGTCATTGTATGGAGTCACACAGGTTTTACGACTCTGTTATAATAATTATCTTATAAAGAAACGCAGGGCTGGTATGTTAGCAAAGGCCTTGAGAAGTGGAGACACAGGATACAGTGCAGAGTATACAGACAGAGAGAACATGAGATGGGGCAACAGAGACATAAACACTTGCTATAGACAACTGTCCCAAAGTCAGATAAAGAAACTCAGACATGGACCTGGA